ATATAAACTGTTCTACGCGATTCCTCCATTCGATGAAATGATTATTGTATGATAAATACTAATGAATAACAATCCCTTTCCTGAATTAAATCTTTTGAACATGATAGTCGAATAGCATAGATCTTTTATGTTAATTTAGATATTAGACACAGGAACATTCTAGACTGTATTGGAATATTTTTCAGATACATCTATTATTTTCAAATTACAAAATGTAAGGTGGTTATGGTACATTTGTCAATAGTGTGTTTTATATTTTATTTGTAATTCAGAATAATCAGGAAGGGGGTTTTGTGGAGATTGTAGTAATTTAATAGTTGAACTCAAGAGTCAATTAAAGCTAGACCACCACCATGGAAAACCTGGAAGTACTGGACGGCCGTCTCGTCGTAGTATGGGACTCCTCAACATCACATTAGAGTTTGATCACTAACATACTGTCACCATTCTCAGTGATGTTCGTTTTAACTTTTATTACCCATCTTATTTGTAGCATAATCTATTTAAGTAATTTAGTAATCTAATATTATTTTTACATCTGTCTTACTAATTACTCATTATTATTTCTAAAAACAACGTCAAATGTTCATATTTCGATTTCAATCTTACTCAACTGCTATTCTTGTTCTTAAGTAATCACTTGTAATAAGTAAACGATTATGTAACGTTGTTTCAGCCTTAATTTTATATTTGTTAAACTAATAGTATTGAGATACATTGGTAAATTAATTCTTCACTATTTATTTAGTACTGATTTTTCACTAGATCTTAAAACCTATATATCAGTGTAGAGCGATTAGAATGAACAAATTGAAGCGAAATATATCTCCACTCAACTTTTAACGATTCTCATTATGCTTATATCTCATTTTTGTACTAAATCTGCGGGTAGAGAATTGTAGTTAAAAAGGTAAATAAGTATCTTGTCTTTCAGATGTACACATACAATTTCAATTCATTGAATTTATAGAAAAAATAAGGGGCTTAGTACAATTAAAATAATTACAAAATAGCGTAACTAGCAGAAATTTGTATTGTATTCATGTAGATTCTAAATCCCCAATTGAATTTTATGATCAAGTGTTAGAGTTGGCCCGATGTTTTGGTTTAAATGTTATGGTGTTGAACCGGACAGAAAGTATAAATATTCAGTGGGGATATTATTCCTTACTTGAAGCGTTTCTTGTATGTGCGGACAAATTAATGAAAAACACAGACTATATGTGGAAATATCTATTGAATTTGAGTGGACAAGAATTACCTTTGAGGACAAACTGGGAGTTGGTTGCACCATTGAAAGCAATAAACGGATCAAATGTCGTTGAAGGCTTAGGTCCAAATTTCTACCCTTGGCGTTGGCCTAAAAAGAATTTCTCATTTCCTGTAAGTTTCATAGTTAATATGATCTTGATAATGATTTTCTCTATTGGAACTTAATATAATAATAAAGTAAATACAGTTATGAACCATGCGTTGCATGTCTAGTTGGGGCAACCATAAAGAAGCCTTTAACATGATAAATCAAACTTGTAGAATTACAGTAAATGTAAATATGATTAAAATAGACAATATACAATATCTGTGTAATCAGATCTATGTTAACAGAAGTAACATAACAATTTGTGAAACAGTCTGAAATAAAACTACAATATTGAATCTACACATATACCTCTTGTATTTTCGAAGCTATTTTTTATAAATGCTTTTGATTGTTTTGATTGTTTTAATTATGCGATCCATAATGTTGCAGTCAGTAATCTACTGAGCATTTGGCGAAAACCATCAGTATCATATGAATACCACTAATCTTTATAATATTGAACTCGATGCATAATTTTTTGCTTGATTTCCAGTTAATATAGTCACTATAGTCTATTTGAGGTTATATTCCTGAATGAAGTGATGTAAATCACTAGAGATAGAGATTAACATGCAACTAAGTTTCGCTTGATTAGGTAGTACATTTTGCACACTTCAAATAACAATTACATCTATTAAATAAAATGAATCAGTGTTATGAAAAGCCAATTAGATTTAATGACTATCGATTGATTACCGCAACTCTTATCTTGAAAAAGTTAATATAATACTCATAACATATTATGATGATTAGGAGTATTTGAATTATAGTATGAACTAATAATCCCAAAATAACGTCATCAGATCAAGAAGTACTAGAAAAGCAAAAACGAATGTACTGTATTTAGAATTCGAAATCAAGCATTCAACAAGTACAAAGGAATCATTAGTTCATTCAAACACCACATCCGCCACAGCTTAAATTGAAGTTTAAGTGTCTGTAATCGATTGTACGTTTTCTTAAGTTCATCCTGTGTCTGTCCGACACTGTATTGGATAAGAAATCTGTATTATCTAGAATGTGCTAATTAGCATTGGAATTAACAACCGAAATCGGAACAGACTTACTTGGTTCCTGGGATTGTATACAACCTCCATGTCGGTTGTGTACCGAAACCACTATCTAGAATTTAAAGCACAGATTTCCCAACACTATCTTCCTCCGTGAAATAATGGTGGATCTTTATATCCCCAAGTTATGAATGATATGGCTTCATTTAAAACATATTTCTCACATTGACTCGAGTAAACATTAGAAGTGTTTTTGTGATAAGGATAAACAGTAGTTGATATGAAATCATCCGAATTGTAATCAAAATCGAGCTCATTTAGTGCTAGTGCTTAGCACTGAACAATTTTCCCACAAGAAACAAATGCATTATGAGGACAAATAATATTTGATAGAACATAAAGTTTTGATTCTTCTGAAATAGTTTCCTCGAATTTATTAAGAATGTCATTGCAGAGCAAAGGATCATTAGAAAAATCAGCATCCATCACAACTACATCAGGTTTTTGGTCATAATTATGTTCACTCAACATATTTACTTCAGATTTGCAAGAGATTTCGTCAGAAATAGGTGAATCATTAGGAAAAACCATATTTGGAAGAATAACATGAGAAATCTGATAAATTGTTTGGTTAGAAACTGTTGTCTCGCAAGAATTCTGAGTTTCACTTAACTCTGAACTGCTATATGACTCTACACTGTCTATTGCAATCGTTGATAAAGATAAATGATCATTATAAATACTCAAATTAATAGAATCAGAATTACAAGACTTAATATTAGTTGCAGCAAGATGAACAGTAGTATTACAAACTGACTGAATATTTCCAACATCACCACATTAAAAGCACATAGAATCACGAAATTTACATGAATTAAAAGAGTGGAACTTGTCACCGGACAAATACTGACCAAACTTGTGCCCATCTTCGTGAACTGCATCGCAACTCCTCAATGAATTATCTGCATAACCTTGAGTATGCACTGGGTTGGGATGACATAATGCAGTGGAATTTTTATATTCTCATGAATCATTTTACGAAATCTTCCTCCCTTACCGAATTCGAAAATTGTATACTTAACATAGTCTAGCAGTAGATCCTTGAGAGTTGTATAAGGAAGTGAAATGGGCTTTTCCGGTAAAGCCAGAGTTTTTAATAAGCTATATGCTTCTTTTCCGATTAATGTGAGGAATTGTGCCACAACATTACCATCCTCACCATCTTTCTTGGTCATAACCCAGATTTCGAACCTTTCAAATAATCCTCAAAAGCTTCAGCAGTTGAATGAATATCTAACTGTTCCATCGCAGGCTCCATCGCAAACCCAATGTGATAAATAGGAGTATTTGAATTATAGTATGAACTAATAGTCCCAAAAATAACGTAATCGGATCAAGAAGTACTAGATAACCACAAAAGAATGTACCGTATTTAGAATTCGAAATCGAGCATTCAACAAGTGCGAAGGAATCATTAGTTCATTCAAACACCACACTTATTCAAATCACTTTTTGTTCAAATTACTTGAAGGCTATCGAAATACCAGAATTCACAGTAAAGTTGGGTTTAAAACTATACTCAATCAACTTTTAGCCTGATATGAAAAGTTTTTGTAATGAATAGATCGTCGTGCGGCTTTGTTCGTATATAAATATACATGTGTGTGTGTGTGTGTGTGTGTGTGTGTGTGGAATCATGTATTTTGTCACAATAACATTATCTCTAGAACCATTTGTCTTTTCTAGATTATTTGGACCAAGGGAAGTTTTTACATGGCATTAAAGCGCGAGTTTGTTCACTTCTATCAAACTGATCAAAAAGCAAACGAAATTCTCAATGCGATGAAAGAAGAAAGACACTTAAGAAAACATCCAGATGAATTATTTTTTCCTACACTAACTCATAATCCACTACTTGGTGCCCCTGGTGCTTGTAATGAAATTCATGTTACTAATCATTCAGATCCACGGAAAATTTTCGCAGCTCGTTATGTAACATGGTATCATGAAGGTTGCAAAAGTCCAAGAGTGCGCCGTATTGTTTGCATTATAGGCATAAACAACCTTCCGTACATAACGTCACGAGTTTAATTCTTCGCCAATAAGTTTCATGATGATTTTGAACCGATTGCATATGACTGCACAGAGTATTATATCATGAAGAAAGTTTTAAACGAGATGACAAGTAAACAATTAGATCCAAGTTTCAATCTCACACATTACTCTATATTGCATTGTTCACAAAATCATATCTAATTTCACAAAACGCTTAGTTGATCATCACAGTCAACTTATGTTCACTTTCATTTGTTCATGTTGATTCATTTTAATAGTTCAGATTTTACTTATTTTTGAAAACGCTATTAATTGTAAAAACCCCCACAGAGAATAACAGTCTTATAAAATGATTATTGTAAGTGATAATTTTACTTGAAAACTGTTGTAAAAATATTACAGTTTTCTTTTCCCGTTTTTAACCTTCCACCGTTATCTACTAAAACAGTTTGGAATATGTCCTGTTTATCCACTTCTCTTGAGGCAACTGGATAATATCATTGAACATCATAAAAGTTGTGATTCGAACTCGAGTACTTTGAACTTGTGCTTGATAAATCAGTGGTTCTCTCTGATCATTTTATAAATACTTCATATAATGAAACTTCTTGGAATAACTAGAGAAAGTTGAATGATAGTGAATCACAAGAATAAAGTGATAAGCATCTTATTTTATCGAATAAAATGTGATGCCTACGATTTCAACTGCACACATCAGGCAAGTCATTAGAACTTTATGAAACATACAATATTAAAGTTGTCAGGATAGAAAATCTAAAAAATGAACTGAGCTTCTTCCGTTTTACGCTTACATATAATTTCAATCAATGTTAGGGATAGTAGTTGACATTTAAATTTTAAAGAAATTAAGCAGTCAATGATTGATTTCAAAGAGAAACGTGACATATTCATAAAGAACACTTCAAAATAGTATTCTACATATCAGCTAAATTCCAACACTGATTAAAGTATTACAACTATAATAAACGAGAGTGAACATTGCGCTACTTACTTACGCCTATAACACCTAATGGAGTATAGGTCGCTGATCAGCATTCTACAACCCACTATGTCTTGGACCATCATTTCCAGTTCTATTCAATTTTTGTTCATTCTTCTCATGTCTATCTCCACTTCTCTGCGTAATGTGTTCTTTGGTCTTCCTCTCCTCCTTTGGCATTGAGGATTCCATGTAAGTGCTTGTCTTGTGACACAATTGGGTGCTTTCCTCAATGCGTGTCCTATCCACTTCCAGCGCTTCTTTCTGATTTCCTACTCCGCTGAGATCCGGTTTGTGCTCTCCCACAGTAGGTTGTTGCTGATAGTGTTTGGCCAAAGGATCCGAAGTACTTTTCGTAGACAATTGTTAATAAACACCTGTATCTTGTGGGTGACGGCTTCCATGGTTCTCCACGTTTCCATCCCATACAGTAGAACTGTCTTGACATTTATATTGAAAATTCTGACATTGGTGTTAGTTGACTATTATTTCGAGTTTCACATGTTCCTCATTTGTGGAGATGCTGCTCTTGCTTTACCGATCCGCACCTTCACATCTGTATCAGATCCACCGTTTTCATCAATCATGCTGCCCAGATATGTAACAGTTTTTACATCCTCCAAATCTTCTCCGTCAAGAGTGATTCGATTGGTGGAACACTGCATTGTTGTCTTGACATAGTTATATCTAGTTAGTTCTACCCGAAATACTTGCTACTCATTTTTCAGAAATTTATTCAGCATCCATCACTATCCACTAATTCGTGCCTGATTCATATTATTCTACATATTACACAATTTCTGTTTTGTAATTACATGATTATCTCTCTCATCCCATGTTCACCATATTTATTCCGATCACTTATCTCACAATTTCATTTCACTTATAAACTGATTCAAGCTAACACTTCATATTAGTCACCTAAACATTATCGATTTGACTTTATTTTCTATTCCAAACAATCCTTAATTCACATGGTATGATTTTAAATGGTGTACGAAGGTAATCTTCGTCTTCTAATATCATTATCGAAATTTATCAAAGGGACTAGTTGTTTTAAATGTTTACATTTACTGTAATTCTACAAGTTTGATTTATCATGTTAAAGGCTTCTTTATGGTTGCCCCAACTAGACATGCAACACATGGTTCATAACTGTATTTACTTTATTATTATATTAAGTTCCAATAGAGAAAATCATTATCAAGATCATATTAACTATGAAACTTACAGGAAATGAGAAATTCTTTTTAGGCCAACGCCAAGGGTAGAAATTTGGACCTAAGCCTTCAACGACATTTGATCCGTTTATTGCTTTCAATGGTGCAACCAACTCCCAGTTTGTCCTCAAAGGTAATTCTTGTCCACTCAAATTCAATAGATATTTCCACATATAGTCTGTGTTTTTCATTAATTTGTCCGCACATACAAGAAACGCTTCAAGTAAGGAATAATATCCCCACTGAATATTTATACTTTCTGTCCGGTTCAACACCATAACATTTAAACCAAAACATCGGGCCAACTCTAACACTTGATCATAAAATTCAATTGGGGATTTAGAATCTACATGAAAACAATACAAATTATGTGGTCTGTATATCAGTCGAAGTAGACGTGATACTTGTTTAATGTTTTGATGAACAGATAAACTGAATGCTAAAGGAAATAGTGTTTCTTCAATTGAGGATTGAATGACATGACCATGGAACAATTTAAACTCTTCACATTTATGAGGATTTGATAAATACATAGAGCTTTGGTCCGCATTTGACTGAATACTTTCATAAACTCCATTATTGGGATTCACACCTTTGGTTGTGAGCAAATATTCACAAATTCTTTTAACTTCACTGTATTTTTCTGCCTGAAACTGATTTAAATCATTGCTGACTCCAATGAACGAATATAGTAGACAAGACAGCATGAGGACTGACAAAATTAGCAAACAATTCAATATTAACCTTTTCATTTGAATAGAATGATGAGATCGTATTGTGAACGTTTTTATTTCATGTGAAAACATCATTTATCCAGTTATTGAATATACACATTCAACTATCTGACTTTATCTGAAAGAGAAACCAGAATATGAGAATGACTCAAATTGAATGTTATTTAAATACGAGAAGAAAATATCCATAAATACTTCTGAAACCAATAATTAGACAATTGACAGGTATACCATAAACAAGTGGTATGATTACACACAAATTTTGAGTTTAAAAGAGAACACTCACAGACAGGTTCATCTAAATGTTTGACCTCAATAAATCGTAGTATAATTGTTCTTATTTGACATTTACGGATTCACAATAATCTGTGCATCACTTAAAAATGTTACTCACTACACCTACTGACATATGTATATATAATTTAATTGGATGAATAAAGTAATGTTTAAAAGTGCTATCGTAGTGAACGGAAACTCAAATACGGTAAACCAGTTTATTATTTTATACAAAAGCACACAATTCATTTGTAGAATATGAAGTAGATACATTAAATACATCATTTGTACTCCATCATCCTCTCAATCCTCTTGCTATTCCGATAGCTCTCTTCTTTCCATCCTCTTCTCTCTATTTCAGTTTTCTTCTGGTTAACATTTTAACTCCAATTCCTACTAAACACTACTTATATCTGTCCGCATAAGTAGCGTACAACACACTATATATATTCTCTAATTCATAGATTATTTATTAGTACACAATGTTAATACAATCCAAACGGAAACTGTTGGATTAGGCTTGTTAGTTATGCTTTTGGAAAGTGTGTATATTCATATATTTCGGTTTTCAGCAAATTTTAGAATAACATATCAGTTTAAATTGTAGACTTAATAAATTACAAACTTTCTTAGTGTATATGGTACCTTTTCCCATTTATAAATAACAATTAACTAATTAACGACATATCTCTTACTATTTTGATAAACATGTTTCAGATGTTATGATTTGTAGTTTTTTTCACACTGTTTTTCCATAATTTTCTTATAAGAATTGTGGAGGTCGGTATTCGTCCTGATAACCGCCTGACGGTGTATAAATCAGAGGACGAATATGAAGCATTCATTACGTTTATTGTTACACCACACACAGATCACCAAAACCACAGGCACGCGAATCAAGAATGATATGCGAGTGCCGAAGAGCAGGCGAACAAGTGAGCGAGTGAGTCAATGAACATTATTAAAATGTACACATATGTACATATAAAAATGAATAAGTCATCGGATCATTTAAGCGACTAACACTAAAGCTAGTAGAATGAATATGTGCTTAGTCGGTAAGCGATGCTCAAGCATACGTGTTCATACAAGCGCAACAATAATAGAAGTACAATGGTATAAATAAGTTTTTGTTGTTGTTTTTGTACGTGTGACTCTGTTAAATAAATTAATGAAAATGCGTAATCAAATTAAATGTAAACAAACTCAAATGTGTGTAATCTGCTATAGTATACATTATTTGTAAATGATCATCTTAAATAACAATCTATTACTGGTGTTAGCTTCTGTTGTTTGAAATAAAGGTTAAAGAAAATAATAAATTTCACAGATTCTTATAGATTTATAACTCAGATAATTAAAGTAAACAATTTGTTATTGTCAGTTGATAAACAGTGAATAAAGAATATTGATTATTTTCAGTTTATTTCTTTGATATATAAACTGTTCTACGCGATTCCTCCATTCGATGAAATGATTATTGTATGATAAATACTAATGAATAACAATCCCTTTCCTGAATTAAATCTTTTGAACATGATAGTCGAATAGCATAGATCTTTTATGTTAATTCAGATATTAGACACAGGAACATTCTAGACTGTATTGGAATATTTTTCAGATACATCTATTATTTTCAAATTACAAAATGTAAGGTGGTTATGGTACATTTGTCAATAGTGTGTTTTATATTTTATTTGTAATTCAGAATAATCAGGAAGGGGGTTTTGTGGAGATTGTAGTAATTTAATAGTTGAACTCAAGAGTCAATTAAAGCTAGACCACCACCATGGAAAACCTGGAAGTACTGGACGGCCGTCTCGTCGTAGTATGGGACTCCTCAACATCACATTAGAGTTTGATCACTAACATACTGTCACCATTCTCAGTGATGTTCGTTTTAACTTTTATTACCCATCTTATTTGTAGCATAATCTATTTAAGTAATTTAGTAATCTAATATTATTTTTACATCTGTCTTACTAATTACTCATTATTATTTCTAAAAACAACGTCAAATGTTCATATTTCGATTTCAATCTTACTCAACTGCTATTCTTGTTCTTAAGTAATCACTTGTAATAAGTAAACGATTATGTAACGTTGTTTCAGCCTTAATTTTATATTTGTTAAACTAATAGTATTGAGATACATTGGTAAATTAATTCTTCACTATTTATTTAGTACTGATTTTTCACTAGATCTTAAAACCTATATATCAGTGTAGAGCGATTAGAATGAACAAATTGAAGCGAAATATATCTCCACTCAACTTTTAACGATTCTCATTATGCTTATATCTCATTTTTGTACTAAATCTGCGGGTAGAGAATTGTAGTTAAAAAGGTAAATAAGTATCTTGTCTTTCAGATGTATACATACAATTTCAATTCATTGAATTTATAGAAAAAATAAGGGGCTTAGTACAATTAAAATAATTACAAAATAGCGTAACTAGTAGAGATTTAAAGAGAGAAATCTATATAATATCCACTAAACTGGAAAAATACTCCTTGTAGATGCTAATATACTACTCATTAAAGCAGAAGTAGTAATAATATGAATAAGACAATAATCTTCAAAAAATGATTTAGTAAATATTTAAAATTAACGTAAGCTGACTCGCCAAGCTCAAGTTGGTTTGTATTTAGAAGCTGAGGTTGTCGTCTGACAACAGATAAACGCCTTCTATCAGGTGGAAATTCCAGATCACAAAGTTCTCCCATCACTTGAGGATAAATATTTGGATGATATTCTGAATAAGGCAAATAGGTGTTGGCATTCCTCACACTCCCTAAATTCACCCAGACAAGACATCCTCGTCCCGACAATGCACGTACATGGTTCCCAAGCATCGTATCGGGTTGCTTGAAATTGCACGCGAACAAAAATTTCAAATTGTTGTGAATGAACAGAAGCTTTCGCGTAACCAGTTAATGGATCACCGATTCTCTTCAGTATTCTGTTTTAAGTGACAAGAATAGTTAGTGAGTTGGTCAATGTAGGCATCTTTTTGAAGAACCAGTATCACGGATATTTCGAAGGTTGTGTAGCGGTAAATAAATCCCTAACATCAATAGCTCTGTAAGTCTTCGACATTTGATGATGACCACATTGGGGTTAGTGGACTCACCTAGCTGTAGGCTCTCGGTCATGTATCCACACCAGATCACGAGTGAGTACGCCATGCTTCACTTCCCCTACAACCACTATCCAGCATAGACTAGTCACTTCTCGATATGTCGATATTCTATGAAATATATCTTCGAGCCTCCTCGCTAGTGACTTCCGATTTCACTGGTTTGGCACGTTTCCATTATGAAAGATGTTACTGGTCAAGGTGTTTTCAAACTCCGAATACTTGTAGCATCTTTAGTGATGAGCCTAACGTGATCTGGTATACCTATTCATAAACTATGAGTCTGTTCCTCTTTGGGACTTTATGTATCAATATGTTACTTTAATCTCTATATATTGTGATACATACTTTAAATTTATCATAACCGAACAGACTCCCGAATTATTTAAGATCAAGTCTCTTACACCACCCTCATTTAAGCTAATACCATTCTGGCCCGACAATACTGAAGCCTGGTTCTGCTACTCAAAAGCTGACTTCCACAAGCACGGCTTGACCGATCCACGTGAGCAACTCGCAGTAGTGAAGGCATTACCGCTCGACTTTAACAGGCACGTCACACCTAGTATGTCCACTAGTGATGTTTCGGAACCTTATGAAACTCTTAAAAGGTCTACTCCTAAGAGCGGAGATCTGACCGATCGACAAAGTTTAGACCAACTCTTCCACAACATCAATCTACAGTATGACTCAGCAACAGACATGTTGTTGCGAATGAGAGGGGTCATTAGTCAACAGATCCTCGAAGATGGCCTGTTTAGACAAATTTTCTTATCTATGCTTCCGCAGAAGGTGCAGGCAGTGCTGGTCTCATTTCAAAACAACGCTGTAAACGAGCTGGCTGCATCTGCCGACCGGATTCTGAGGATCACCAGGATTTCTAACGCCGGGGTCTGTTTAGTCAAAGAAAAACCTCAAACAACACGAGATGACGTTATGGAATTTTGTCATACTCTGACACATTACCTTAGGATTCGTCATGACCGTCGACGATCCCAAACTCCTTGAAGGAGTGCTTCACGAAAACGATCTGTGTCTAGATCACGAGAGACAGATAACCCTGATTGACGCTAGTAACATAATCAGTATGGAAATTCTTCTCGAAATTGCAGAAACCCCCACAACTTTGCGAGCTCCAAACCAACCGACATGAGAAGTGTTTCGAGAAACTTCCCAGCCTGCGCGCGTTAACGGCAACCGTAGCTGGCAAGCATGGCCGCCTGTTTTACATCACTGATATGACCGCAGAAGTTCTCTACCTCGGCAATACTGGCTCAGAGGTTGGCGTTTTTTCGGCGAATTCTAACAACCAACTGCTTGAAGCAGTTTTCAAATTACAGGTGGCAAGTGGGAAACCGGTTGCCATATATGGTAAGCGATATGTTTATCTTAGCGTGGATTTACACAAACCCATCCACTGGATTTTCGTTGTTGCAGATGTTTCTGTGTCAATCATTGGTATGAACCTGCTACATCATAATGTACTCATAGACATGCGCAAATAGGGGTTAGTAGACGGCAATACTAACTTATCTTTTTGTGTGACTATTTCCAGTTGTAAGTTATCTCCACTCACAATAAAACACACGATCGATCCATACTACCAACAAATACTGACTAAGCACCCTGAGATATACCAAGCACAACCAGAATTGCCATGTGTAACCAACAATGTTGTACATCACATAACGACTGCAGGACCACCAGTATTCTCGAAAGCGTACCAACTAGCTCCAGAAAAGCCGAGGTTCGCCAAAAACGAATCCGGCCATATGATAGACTCAGGAATCATTTCTCCATCAAACAGCCCATGAGCATCTCCCTTGTACATGGTCCCTAAAAAGGACAGCAACAATTGGCGTCTAACTGGCGACTATCGGCGATCGAACGAGAAAACCATTCCTGATCGTTACCCATTGCCTCACGTTTACGATTTGACAGCTACCCTGAAAAGTACAACTGTTTCTTTGAAAATGAACTTAGTTAATGCATATAATCGAATTCCCATGGCTGTTGAC